GTGGATCGAAAGAAAACTAGTTTCTTTTTTTTTGCTTCTGTTTTTACCGCGTCTTCTGTCGTACTTTCCACCACTCAGCTACAAGCCGCCTGGAGGGAGGAGTAAGCGTTGATTCAACACAGTATGTGTTCGGGAATTGTGGAGGGGAGTGAGAAGTGAGGGGGCGAGTGAGTGCGCGTGAGTGTGCTTAAGTAGTAGACGCGTATATCTGCTTGAAAAGCCGGAGGGGGGTTACAGCCCCGTGGACTGTTGTTTGCTTTGAATGGCTATTTTCCCTTCTCTTCCCTTATTTCCTCTCTCTCCTTCCCTCCCCCTCTCCTCTTGCGTTTGGCTCACATTGAAAGAGGAGGAAAGGCGTCGCGTCAGGCCCAGCCAGCGAAGACGGCAGAAAAAAGGAAAACAAAAGAAAAAAACAGAGAGGCACTAACCACAGACTGAGCGGGGACTGGGGTGATTGGGGAGGAGCCATGTCTATTCTCAAGGGAAAAGAGGTGGAGGTCACGCAGGACGACCAACGCCGCATCTGCCTTTTTGCGCGGCTGCATCGTCGGCGCCGTGAGCTGGTGGCCGGCATCGCTAGGCGCAAGGAGGAGATGGTGCGGCTCAGCGACGCCGCGGACGAACTGATGATCACCGACAACGCCATGTACCTCTTTGGCGAGACCTTCATGGAGACGGAGAACGACGAGGCGGAGCAGTGGCTGGAAAAGGACCAGCAGCGGCTGCAGACGGAGCAGGCGGAGGCGGAGACGGAGCTGAAGTCCGTCCAGGTAGCGTTGGGCGAATTAAAGGCATCCCTTTATGCCTCCCTTGGCAACCAGGTTTACTTGGAGGATGAATAACAACTGAAATGCAACGAGAAACGAAAAAAAAACCACACCCAGAGAGAGAGAGCAAGAGCAAGAGGGACTAGATCAAGGAAGGCAGCGCACTTGGCTCCGCAGGAGTGCCTTGCGCAGGAGGAAAAAAGAAAACAACAACAACAGTCAAACAAAACAGAAGGAAAGAGGAGCGGATATCGTGGGCCCCTTCTCCTTTCTTCTGGTGCCGTCTTTCTCCCACCCCCTGTGTGTGTGCGTAGCTGCGGCCTATTTTGGGCTGCTCTTTTTTTTTTTTTGTGGTTGCCAACTAATCAATTTTCTTAAGCGCGAGTGGGCTTCCCCCAATGCCCCCTGTGAGTCATATTCTTTGTTTTCTTTTGGCTGCTGTTGTTTTCATTTTGTTTATTTTTTGCCGCCTCCCTTGGCGTGAGTGATTTGGCGAAGTGGGAACATCGCTGGTCTCCGCGAGGCGTGTTAGTGCCGTCACGATGGAGCGTCCGCCCGGCCCGATGCATGAGTTGATTCGCCGCGCCGACGACGAAATACGCAAACATTCGAATTACTATGCAGCTTTGCGCCTTCTCACGGAAGGTCTACAATTCTGTGAGAAGGACGTCGACGAGAGTGGGCCGCAGCGACGGAACGCGTGGAGGTTCGCTCTGGATCAACCTGACCTTGTGCCAGGGGGTCACGGCCACAGCAACGACGTCATCGCGGGCGACACCTCTGCTGGGTCCTTTGCCGAGTCCACGGCCTCCAGTAGGAGCACTATGCTGTCGGTGGCAGAGGGCGGCAAGGTTGTGCGGTTAGCACCACAGCCGCGGGCAATTTTTAATCGTACTCAGAAGCTTCGAATGCTGCTCCTGCGTGCAGACGCGTACTCGCTGCTAAGGCAGCACGATAAAGCCATAGAAGATGCACAAGCCGCCGCTCAAATTTCTCACGAACGTTGTCCAGAAGCCTACTTTGTGATGGGGCGGGAGTACCTGCGTCTTTTTCACCTCGGCGCTTCGCTGGCTGCCTTTGACAAGGCGGAATACCTTCTTTCCTCGTTGCCATTCTCACATGGAAACTCGTACGTGGAGGAGGTTACCGACGAAAACTTCTGGGCCCAGCGCGGATACCACATGAAGGATGTTGAACGCTTAAAGCTGAATCGCCGTGCGATGGAGCAGGAAGAGCAAAAAGCGCATAGTGCACTGTTGCACGAAGAGGAAAACAATGGTATGGCTGCAGTATCTGCGTCGCAACGCGCCTTAGTTACTTCCACGTCTGCTGAAGGCGCAAACCCTCTTCTTACTCAGTTGGTCTATTGGAGACAACTGGCTAAAGAGGCACGAGCGCTGCATAGCATGAATACTTCGCATATACTGCCGAATGGATTCCTGCAAACGGCACTGCAGTTTTTACAGCATCAAATGAGTTCGGTTCGATGGGGTGCCGCGGTATGCATAGAAAATACGAGCTCTCGAAAGCTACGGCTGATAGGCTGCGCCTCCCCTGATGCGGCCTTTAGAAATGGTATGCAGTTTCCAGAGACCATCCCTCCTGGACACTGTGGGGTCGCGCTCCTTCAGCCGCGAGGAGGTTGGGGGGGTTTTGTGTGCTCCGTCTGCTACGAGGTGGCGGACAACGGTGTGTGTTGCTTTTTCTGCTTTGAAACCTCCTTTACGGGGTCAAAGAATTGTGGCGTGCAAGTTGCCTTGGAGCGGCGTTCTCCAGCGCCCGGCGTTGGCCTGAGAGAACCCAACAGCAGCGCAGCCGGCACCTCGCCCCTGGCCACCCCGGTGAGGGAGTTCGTTGGGTTCGGCGTGCCAAACCGCGACGATTGGCTCCGGACGGAGGTCGCGCCACTACCCTCTGGCCGCCAGCTGAAGCTGTCGGGTGAAACGCGTAGCGACAGTCGCGTGTTGATGTTTACTGCGACCGAAATTCTCGCCGTTCGCCTGCGGTCCGTGGAGCTTCTCCCTGCCCTGGAGTTCGCGGGCCCTAGCGTGCTAAAGAAGATGAGCGTTGTCAACCAGCGGTACCGCGAGTTAATCAACAACCTTCCGCCACCCATGTTTTTCGGAACCGGTCGCTGCTACTACCCCGACTACTGTCTCTGGAGCGATCGCACCAGTTCACCCTGGATTGTGCATGACAAGGAGCCGGTGAATTGGACCTGCCTCTTTGACGGGCGAGAGCAGAACCGTGAACTGTTTCAGGTCACCGACGCCGCCGATCCGAAGAACATCATTTTATATTTTTCGGGCGAGAGCTGCGGCTCCGTTGAAACATTGGTGTTCTACGGCGATCGACGCACCCTCATTGCACAGATAAAAGGGAGTTGGGTCCCATTCAGTAGCACGCTCTACCTGTGCACGGCGTCGGGTCGCAAGTTTGCCTCCTGCTTTCTTGACCGAAATTCTGAATTAACGCTGGCCTGGGATGGCGCCAGCAAAAAAAATAAGTCGGAGGATGTAGAGTACGTGATGCATCGAATAGACCCTGTGCGACGCACGGGCGCTGGCGCGAGAATGGGTACGGTGTCGAACCTTTCCACCGTAAATGGGTTTACCGGTACGGAGGCAAAGGACGTTGTGGTAATCTCTTCGGCGAGTGGCGTCTTCGAGGCGGTCCCGTCCTTCCAAATGCCTAGAAGCAGTCGGAACTATTCAGTTGAGACGTATGCCGTGTGGCGCTCGCAGCGGAGAAGCGGGGGCAGTCTTGGGAGCAGCGTTCCCAGGCAGACGAACAATGGAATGGAGCTGGCGGCGGAAGTCAGGATTAACGTCCCCTCCACGCAGTCAGTTGCCAAGGGGGGCGTCGTTGCTGAAATTTCGTTGTGTCCGGGCGCGGATGCGTTGCTGGTTACGCTGATGACGTATTGTCGATCCCAATGGGATGGGTGAGGAAGCCAAAAACACGAAGAAGAAGGCCGAGAAGAAACTGAGAAGGAAAAAAAAACGACGACAGAAGGATGAGGGAAGCAAAATAACAACAGCGTAAGAAGAGCAACCGAGATTACCGGCCGCAGGTGTAGTAAGAATAGGTGTAGTGCAAAATGTGACGTGTATCGTAGTGTAGTTATCTTCGGGGTCGTTGTTGTTGTTGTTTTGGCGGCTGCGTGAGTCTGCAATTGGACAGGGGCAGGGAGGGAGGAATGACGCGGTGGAAGCGGAGCGCTTCGGGGCTGCTCTCTTTCTTCTTCAGCTCCCATTGCCCCCACACTCACTCCCCCCATCCTTTTCTTTTTATTTGCTTTTTTTTTTTGCGTTTTTGATTTGCTGGTTGCATTTACAGTTGCCGCGTGGGTGCGTGTGGCTGGGGAGGACGACGAGGCGCTGCCTTCTCTCTCACTCTCTTCCCAGCACGAAGTGTACTTCTTTATTTGTGCAGGAGGAGGGAAAGCATTTATATGTATAAAACGTTCATCGGGAAGTGATTTTTTTTTTGTGTCTTGTCTTTTTTTCTTTTGGTGTCGTAGTCGTTTCCAATTTCTTTGTTTTTGTGCGCCGAAAACTTTCGACGCTTTTTTCGTCTTGTTTTTGTTGTTGTCTTCTGCGGCAGGCGTTTCCGCGACGACGCATTGGGCAGCAGCCAGCGCTGGGCCTGCATTCTCTTCCTTTTCTCTCTCCCTCTCCCGGCCCGCACGTTTGGTTTGATGTCCCGCTCTCCCACGTTTTTGTTGCTGCGTTTCTCCCTCCTGCATGCCCCAGCGGCGGCGGGGATGGCCCTTCCCCCCGCCCGGTGCGACAGGCACAGCCTCATGCGCGGCGGCACGGCGTAAATGAGTTCCCCGGTGGGTCTTTTCACCGTTGTTGCTCTCTCCAGACACACACAAACCAGTTATTCCGGCTCTTGCCAATTCGGCAGCGTGGGAGAGCTGTCTGCTACTTGGGCTTCTGCTCCTCAAGCGAAAGCGGTGATTGCGAAAGTCGCGGCGGCGGACAACAAGGCACCGCCACCCACACCAAAACCTCCAGGCGGCGAAGAGGCCTCCGAACTTGCGGGTCGAAGGCCCCCTGGATGCCGTTGGAGAGCCGCGGCAACGGGTTGGACCTGTTTACCAGGCAATACAGAAGGCGAAGGAAAAACAGAAGGCTCCGCCACCAGCCCAAACACGACGCTGCAGATGCGGCTGAGTCGGGCACCACAGCGCGACGTGTTGTGCGAGAATTTGGGTTGCATCCCCAAAAACCTGTAGAACCAGCCGTGAGGCGGGGAGCCTTGGCAAAGATGTCCAACAGCGATACGCACAGAGCGGCAAGGCGTGTCGCCGTTGACGAGTGCCGCGTGGGGCTGCGTGGTGTCCGGCGACACTCCCACGGGGGGGGGGATGAGTTCGCGCGATCTGGGAGCAAACGACGTGGGCGCTGCGTGGGGACGCGGGAGGGGCGGGGTGGGAGCCGCCGGCACGTCCATTTTGTCCGATTGTGTGTGTGTGTGTGGCGGGAGGGAAGTGGCCCTTGGGCCTCGCTGCGGTGTGCCGTTTGCCGCTGCGGGCTCTCGTGAAGGCAGATGCGGAGGAAAGTACACAAAGCCCTCTTCTGCCGTTGCTGCTTCTTTTTCCCTTAACGGGCCGGCAGTGCCTCGACCATTTCCTTCTTCCTCTGTTTCTGCGTGTGTGTTGGTTGAATGCACCCACTCCGAGGGCTGTTGAAGTGTGTGTATTTGTGCCTCTCTCACCTTTTTTCCTCCTCTTTCTCTCTATTTCTGCTCCTCGCTAGACTCTCCGTGCGTGTGTCTGTGTCTGTGTGTGCTGCGGTGGGAGGAGTGGCGATGGCTGGCCGTGCGCTGTTGGTGTGCGCCCTCTGCGCGCTGTGCTGCGCCGCCGGCGGGGGCCGGGCGTGGGAACAATTCTGCACGGAGAACAACTGGGATTATTATAAGGCGTATTTCCCCAATAAAAGTGAAGAAGAGCTTTTGGATAAGTACTGTAACCATAGCCAGGCTTTTGTGGCGGAAATGAAAAAAAAACTCACTGCAACTGCGGGCAGTACCGGCACCGGTGGGCAGGCGGGTGCAGGTGACGGTGTTTCCACGGCTGTCGGTGAAAAAGGGCAGGCTGGCGGAATTACCAGCGGTACTGTGGGAGGAAAAGTGGCATCGGCACCGATCCCTGGCAATACCGCTGGTGAAGTGACGAGCAGCAGCAGCGCAGCAGGAAAGTCACCTGCGCCTGCACAAACCGAGACGCAAGGCGAAGGCGAACAGGCGACAGAGGTGACTGAAGGAACGAGGGAAAACGAACAGCGTGAGAAATCGGGCATTGCTTCGCCGCAGGAAGAAAAGGGGGAATCTGAAGATGAAGGCAAAGGGGCCGTGGACGCTGCAGATGCCACGCAGAAAGCAGCAGCTGCAACTCAGGCAGAGGCCACTTCACCGTCTCCCTCCACGCCCAGTGACGGCGCTGCCGCTGCCAGCGGCCGTGCTGGGGAGCAGACGGTGGGGGATGCCGGGAACACCCCATCGCCTGTGGGCGCGGAGCAACAAGACGAGGGACACCAACGTGGCAATGCCCCTGGTGCACCGCCAAGCAGTGCGAAGGGAACAGCACCGCCGGCCTCCAATGCCACTAGTAATGCAACGAAGCCGGCGCCCAGCGACAGTGACGGCAGCAGCACCGCGGCCTCGCATTCCGCCTCCCCCCTTGCGCTGCTTCTTCTGCTTGCGTGTGCGGCTGCCGCTGCGATGCTGGCCGCGTGAGGGACTGAGTGCGGGGTGCGGGGGAGGGCCGTGCATGCACACAGCTCGTCCTTCTTCCTCTATTTCTGTGTGTCCCCCTGCACGGACTCTCTCGCCCTCGCCGCACCCCATGAGGCAGACACGTAATGTGCTCATAACTATACACACAACTCCACTCATGCAGGCTCGTCGGTTTTTTTTCTTTTGCACCTGACGACCCGCTGCCGTCCTGCTTGGCCGCATGGGTACAGCACCGTAACTGTTTTTATCCTTTTTATTGTTTGTTTGTTTCCATTGCTTTGAGTGGGCGACCTCCTCCTCCTCTCTCTTCCTGGACTGGACTGGGCTGTGCGGGAACAGAGAGTGAATGAGTGTGTGCTGGTCGTCCCATTTGTTACTGCGCGTCCCCACTGCTCGGTGGACGCGCCCCCACGCTTCGGCTTCACTTCACGGGGTTTTGTTTTGCTTTTTGGAATTTCTCTGCTTGCGTTTGTGTTTGTGTGGTTTGGGTGCCCGCAGTCGTTCCACAGCCCGTGTGTGTCACAACGTGCGGGCCCGCCCCTCCTCCTCTCTCTCTTGTTGTGTGGCTGCGTGGGGTCGCGTATCTGTTTTTTGTCTCTCCCCCTCATTCTCCTTTTGGCTGGTGGTTGGTGCTCAGCTGCAGCTCACGCCAAGAACAACTACAACGAAGGAAAACAAAATAAGGGCGGCAATGCCCGAAAAGCGAACGCGGGCGCGTGCTGGTAAGAAGAGGGAACGTCTCGCCACTCATGCGCTGCGGGGACGGCGGCGGGGGGAGAGCGGGGCCTGATGGCAACGCGAATCCGTAGCGCGACGCAGCGGCCAAAATGGGCCCTTGAGAGTACGCTGGAGGAAGCGCTGATGGAGGGGGAAGACCCGGTCAGTGAGATGCTGCCGAACGACTTCCTTCGGGAGTACGTTGGCGACAATAGCGCCGTGGACGACGACGACGACGATGTTCCGATGGGGGTGTTTGCGCGGAGCCCAGGCGAGCGCGTCACGGACACGGAGCTCCGCGAGAGCATTGCCAACTTGCCGGCGTGCCAGGCGTGCGCTCTCCGTGAAGAGTTGCGCAGGCTTGTGAAGAAAGCGGCGGCCACGCCCCGAGACCTGAGGGGTGTTTCCTCGTGGCTGTATGGCGTCTCTAGAACGGCGTCGAAAAAACTCAGAGCAGCCCTTGAGGTGGCGGAGGCAGAAGCGGCAGGTCGGGAAGAAAACGAAGGGGCAAAGCAGAAAAAGAAAAGGGTGAGACTACCGATTCCGGAGGGTTTCTACGACTCGGTGCTCAGCGCGAGGTGGAGTCACGTCTTGGGGTTTCCCGAGGGCGAAGGGGAGGATGAAGCGGAGATGCGAATGGAGGTGAAGGCGCCAGCAAAGTAGTGGGAGGACAAGATGCTTACGGTGCTTTTGGGCTGGATAGTGGCGGGGCGGACCGGTTGCGCCCATCGCGCCCCACGCTGATGGTACTCACCTCCAAGCAGGGCTGGCCGCACTCGCTGCGGGAGGGAACAGTCACCATCGACTGCTACGTTAACTTCGAGGTGGGGCGGGTGTGGCGCATCGTACAATAATGGCATGCACGATGTGTGTTCCGCGCTGAAGATCACGGGCTGCCTGACGTGGAGCCACACTTCCTGCTTGGGACGCACGGGCTCGGGCGGTGGGCGGATGCCGGCCCCTACCTCCTCTACCGTCTGCTGCACTACAAACACCACCCAATTCGCTATGTTGTCTACTGTCTTGGAGGCGAGTTGGCGTACGTGTTTGACAGGGAAGAGAAGACGGTGGCAAAATGCGACGCCGCGGAGGAGGTCAAGTAAAAGCTGTGGATCGTTTGACTCGAGACCCTGAAGAGAGAGGGTTTGTTATCTACGACGCGGCGGAAAAGAGAGGTGCTCGCCCGGGGCTGCGGCCGCCAACGGGACGACGGGCAAGGCACTGCGTATTGCGGGTGGACCCGGCGTCGCGTCCCCTGGCAAAAAGGGCTTAGCAATGTGGGCGCCGCAGGAGCTGTCAAGCCGAGAGGGTGGACGCAACGTGCGGGTAGTTGCGCGGGAGCGGCGACCGAAAATGCTCGGCTCTTGGGCGCCTTCCTTTTTGCTGCTTTGTGAGTTCCCGAGGGCGGGGGAGAATTTGGTTGGGCTGCGGTTTGCTGCGGCGGATGCGCGGCACAACAGTCCCGCCAGCGCAGCGCAGCAGCGGCCCAGTGAGTAAGGACGAGGTATATTTTAAACTGTTT